CTGCCCTGCTGCCTCTCTCCGCATCCCTCAGGAGGTTCCTGTTAGAATGTGCTGGAGCGCTCGGCCGCCTCTCAGCGCCGTACTTGGCTTTGTTCTTCATTGCGCGTTCTCTGTTGAGTCGTCACCACGCTTGTTTGATTCCCTAAGCGTGCAGCTCTCCGTTGGCTGCGTCCAGCATCGAGGTTCACTCTGAGGCTCCTGGTGCCTGCTCATCTCCCCTACGTGATGAGGGCTGTGCCTTCCTCTCGCTTATTGCAGTGTCTCGATTTTTTCTGTTAAACTGGACGTGAAAGGTAAAACTCTGGCAGCTACGGACTGCGCTTCCTGCCCCCGCCGTACCGCGAAGGCTCACTGCCGTTTGCTTTATTACTGCCTGGGCCACTTCTGTCTCCCTCGTGGCACGTGACACCCATGTCTTGGCTTGGTTTTGTCTTTCTGGTCACATCTTCCCTTCTGGTCTTGATTCCCTCCTAAGCCTGTTTTTAGTTTAAGCCTCCGTTCACTAGGTCGCCGCTGGGCCTCACGCCGTCCAGCCTGAGTTTGTGTGCGACAGTTCCAGCGCCGAGACGGTAGGCGGGGAGCAGGGAGCTGTGCGTGGTCCCCGCTCTCCCCTCCCTCTGGGCGCCTGTGTCTGCTCTGCCCGTGGCCAGCAGGAGCGGGTAGATGGCAGGGACCTGCCCTGCTCTCCCCAGCCTGCTCAACCGGAGGTGCCGGGAGCCTGGCGAGGAGCCTGGGGTGGCCTTGCTGGGACTTCCGTCCGGCCCGCGTCTGCTGCTCGCGCAGCCTCCGGGTAACGGAGGGGTTTCCTCGCTCATCCACCATCAGGGTCGCTCTGCTGGCTGCCCGTGCTGCTGGGCGTGGGTTTTGCACCCAGAGGGAGCTCCCTGCAGCCGTGGGGCTGCTGGCTGGGTGAGCTGCTGGAACCAACCCCGCCTGGGAGGGGCGGGGGGCAGGGAGGGGGAGCGCCAGCTCCTCCTTACCCAGGATCGGAAGTTCCTCGTGCGTAAGTGCTCTGTAGAGTGTTAGAACATTGCGTTGATTTTGACAGTGAGGCCCGGTCTCACTGCTGTTCCTGGGACGAGGGCCTTCTGGGCTCCTCAGAGTGTGTTCCAGCCCCGACGTGTCTTCCAGTCTTGAGAGGAAACGCATGCCACTGGCGCAGGCGGGGGTCTGCCATCTCGGTCCCCCACTTCTGCAGAGCTCACATCCTGTAACTCACCAGCGCCTGCCTGTCGTGTCCCACTTCCGCAGCCCTTAAATTACTCCTTGGGGGAGAGAAAACCCCACGGGGGTCTGGCTCCGCTGACGACAGGAAGGGTTTCTGGGCTCCGGAGGTAAGCCCCTCCCCCCACCTTCCCAGGCACCTCAGACGAGGAGTTGAAGTCACCCTGCAGATTGTTCTGTGGGATCCAGAAACAGACTCGCCCGGCCCGGCTCCGTGTTCACGGCAGGTGCGCTCCGTCAGGTGTTCTCATGCCTGGGATGGCCTTTGCAGACGCGGGATGACGTGGTTTCCCAGACTGCACTGGCCGGGGGCTGGCAGCGCAGGGGCAGCTACGGCAGGTGCAGCCGGCCCAGGGCAGCCCAGCGCCTCTTCCTGAACACGAAGCCTGAGGGCCACGGCCGTGCCCACGGGTCTGTTTCTCCACCACAGCAGCCAAATCGAGCAGTTGCTACAAGAGCTGTATTCTGGTCCTTTACCGAAAACCTGGGCCAAACGCTGATCAGGAACCCTGCCCCTCCCCCTTTAAAAAAAAATAAAAGATGCACTAATGTGAAAGGCAGAGCGTTAGAGACAGAGCAGCTGGAGGCTCCATCCACTCCCCAAATGGCCCCAACAGCCAGGTCTGGGGGAGGCTGAAGCCAGGAGCCTGGAACTCCACACCTCCCGTGTGCTGGCTCTCAGGGGCCCAAGCTCCTGGGCCGTCCCCTGCTGCCCTCCCGGGTGTGTCAGCAGGGAGCTGGATCGGAAGCGCAGCAGCCAGGACTTGAGGTGACTGATATGCGATGCCTGCCATGACCTAGCCTGCTGCGCCATGACGCTGCCCCAGGCCCTTGGCTCCGCCTCAGCGGGAGGCAGCCGTCTCTTGCCTGCCGTCAGCGTGTGCCCCGGGATCTGGGCCCTGCTGCTCCTGTGCGGCCTCAAGCTGTGGTTTCCCCCAGGTCCCCGGGGGCAGCCTGGGGGCCCCAGCCCTGCCCAGCGCCCCCGCGAGGGGCTGGACATGCAGGCGGCTGCCCGGCTTGGTGTCCTGCTCTCTCAGCCTTCACCTGGGCGCCAGGTTAGGCCAGGTGAGATGCCTCTCAGGGGCTTCTGGCTCTTGCACAGGTGCCCAGGCCCACCTCATGAATTACATCCGGTCCAGGTGGGATGGGGGCGGGGCAGCACTGGTCAGCAGAAGCCCCCAGGTGAGGCCGCTCAAGCCAGACGTGAAGGTGGGCGGGGGTGGGTTTCCCATGCTCCTCTGCTTCCCGTAAGAACTCGGCTTCTCCAGCGGCCACGCCCGGGCTGGCTCCTTTTGCTGGTGAGAGAGGGCTCCTGCGGCCTGGCCCCCACGCACTCCCGTCAAGGGCACTCGGGACATGAGGAACTGGAGTCTCCCTGTGAGGCTGAGCCCTGACTGCAGGCTGCCTGGCCGTGACGCGGACACACGGAGGTGAGGCCCCCAGTGCAGCCCGCGTGTCCCAGGTGGAGAGGGCGTCTGTGAGCCGGACGTGCGGGGAGTGCTGTCAGCTCGTGTCTCACAGCCCTGCACGCTCTGGCGCGGAGGCCCTTGGAGGAGAGGGCGCAGAGCAGGGGCTCCGAGGAAGGGGGTCCCTGGCTGGCGGCACCGGCACCAGCCGCCAGGAGCTCATGGAAGCGCCAGCTCCCAGGTGGAGGAACTCCGCCCCCCTCCCTGCCGAGGTCTGAGGCCCATGGGGCGACTTAGCTGCAGGTGGGGGCTGCAGAGCCTGGCTCTGGACAGGCAGCGAGCCAGTGCCGGCATGCAGGGTGCTCAGTGGCGTCAGAGACCCTGGGAGCCCTAATAAAGCCCCGAGCCCCGAGCCCCGGCCCCGGCCCGGGCCCCAGCCCCGGCCCCAGCCCCGGCCTCCGGGCTGCATCCTGGCCTTGGGAATCTGTATTTTACCAAACGCTCCAGGAGATGGTGAGATGCAAGCCGGCTCCTGTTGGGACCAAGGCGGCGGGAGCCCGGTGAACGCTGCATCCTGCTCTGCCGGCCCCATTTCCACGCGGCCCAGGCTGCAACCGGCCCGACATGTGGCTTCCTCCCGCAGCTGCGCCCCACCTTGGGGCTGGGCTGCCCACCAGTGGGCTTCATGGGCGCATGCGCACGGGTTGCCCACCAGTGGGCTGATGGGCGCATGCGCACGGGTTGCCCACCAGTGGGCTGTGTGGGCGCATGCGCACGGGTTGGTTCATCTTCCCAGAACCCCGGCTTCCAGGAGCTGTGACGGCAGCTGCTGGTCTAACCGAGCCACACGGCATCTTTTCAGAATGCTTGTGGAGGTGAGCTGTGGGTTGGACAGCATCCCCGAGGCCACAGGTCATGGACACAGGGCCCTGCCCCTTCCTGCCACCCCGTGGGTCGCTCTGCCAGGAGCAGGGCTGAGCCGGAACGCGTGGCAGGCACAGGTGCTGTCTGGAAGGCTCATTACTGTGCGTTTTGCCCCCCGGCTGCCCTCATCCATCGCCATGAACGCACACACCTGCCTGAGACTTCGCCTGGGGCCCACCTGCTGCAGAGATGGGGGCGCGTGTGCGTCCCCACACCTCATGGCAAGGAGGAGAGTCGGCTTCCTCGGCCCTTCCCCCACAGCGGCCGTGGTCAGCTGGCGGCCAGCGTCCCCTGCACCCTGCCCAGGGCTGTGCCTCCTGCAGCTCTGCACCCAGCTGCCTCTGGGGCTGACGAGTGTCGAGCAGCCTGCCGTAACCCCCTCCTGGGCATTTCCTCTGTGTGTGTGTGCCTGTGTGTGTGTGTGTTGCACAGACGATGTGCCTGTCACCTGAGCAGCCCTGAAGATATCCCAGGGCCAGGCTGCTCCCCAGACCACTTGGGGGGGGTCTGCCTGCGTCCACCTGCATGGGGGGAGTCAGGCATCTGAACTTCTCACGCCTCCCAAGTGCGTCCAGTGTGCAGGTGGAGCTGAGAGCCCTGGGCAAACGCCATTCACTTAAATGTGTGGGGTGGAAAAGGAGGCTGGGAGGAGGGCACACAGGCACGTGGGTAGCACGGGTGCCCGCAGGGGTGCATGGGACTTAGCGTCTGGACTTAGACCCTGGGAGCACGGCCGGATCCCTGCTGCTCTCCTCCTGCCCTCCGAGGCAGGGTGCAGCTGGCCTGGTCTCCCCTGTCGGGAGCTGCCCCTAGCATGCTGCCTGCCTAATTCCCTGCTCTCGGCCTCTTCTCCTCCAGCGGTGACAGCCTGGCCATTTCTTCGGCTGCATTCACTCCTCCCTGCACCTGCCGTGACCCTGACTGTGCTGTTGTCCATGGATAGACAAGGCTGCAGCGGGAGTCAGGCTGACCCCTCCCCCAGCGTGCACGGGCTCTGCGGTTCACCCTGGCGCCTGCTCTGTGAGGTGGCGCCCTTGCCCCATTTCCTGGAGGGGGACGCTCAAGCAGAGTGAGGTGGCCGTGGTCACCCAGAGTGCCTGTCCCTGCCCGCCCTGCCATGCAGGGGTGGCGGCTGTGTGCCAGAGCAGGGGCTGCAGCGGGAGAGCTTATGATCTGCACAGCGCCCTGAGAGGACTCTGAGCTAAGAGAACCGGGGAGAAAGAGGTTAAGTGACTTGGACAAGGTCACAGAGAGGATTGAGGGTTCACGTCACTTCGTCCCAAGCCTGGGATCTGAATTCTGGCCCCACACAGCACCAGGTCGCCTGAGTCGCTCACGGTGACGTGCAGGGCCCCTTCTAATGTGGCCTCAACCGTCTTCCAGCCACTTCCTGCTCTGGGACTGAATCACACCAAGCACTTCCGCTCTTCCTGCCCGTCAAGGGCTCTTGCTGTGCCCTGGCCCCGGCACACACAGGAGGGGCAGGTGCAGACATCTCCCCCGGGGCTCCCTGTGGTGGCTGGTCCCTCACGACCCCCCCCATCACCCGTTACTGAGTGTGTCCTGACTCTGTGTGTCCCTCCCCCAGGTGCCGTCCTGGGTCTGTGTGTCCCTCCCCCCAGGTGCCGTCCTGGGTCTGTGTGTCCCTCCCCCAGGTGCCGTCCTGGGTCTGTGTGTCCCTCCCCCAGGTGCCGTCCTGGGTCTGTGTGTCCCTCCCCCCAGGTGCCGTCCTGGGTCTGTGTGTCCCTCCCCCAGGTGCCGTCCTGGGTCTGTGTGTCCCTCCCCCAGGTGCCATCTTGGGTCAGTGTGTCCCTCCCCCAGGTGCCGTCCTGGGTCTGTGTGTACCTCCCCCAGGTGCCGTCCTGGGTCTGTGTGTCCCTCCCCCAGGTGCCATCCTGGTCTGTGTGTCCCTCCCCCAGGTGCCGTCCTGGGTCTGTGTGTCCCTCCCCCCAGGTGCCATCCTGGTCTGTGTGTCCCTCCCCCAGGTGCCATCCTGGTCTGTGTGTCCCTCCCCCCAGGTGCTGTCCTGGTCTGTGTGTCCCTCCCCCAGCTGTGGCCCTTGGGTCTGTCTCCCTTCCTGCCAGGTGTCCTCCCAAGTCCAGGTGTCTGGTCTCCCCCATTTCCCATCCTTTGTTGCCAGGCATGCTGGATGCTCAGTAAACATTGTTAGGCAAATGTGGGGACAATCAGCAAAGCGTCTGTGGGCTCCCTGCAGGGCCTCCTACCTGGAACACCTGTTGTCGGTTTACTGACAAACTCTAGGAAGCCTATGTTGGAATATTCCAGAGGGAAGCTGAGAGCTAGTTGTACCCACTTTGCCTACAGAAGTTTGAGTTTATTTTCTTTGGGCGAGCTTTGCTACCGCCCTGGAGCAGAGCCCTGGCTCCCGTGCGCTCTGTGCAGAGACTACACAGGGCGTGTGCAGGTGGAGCGTCTGTGCTGAGCGCTGCGGGCCTGCATGGGGAAGGGGCGCTCCTGGGCCCAGGCCGTGGTCGCCAGACCCTTCTAGGGTGCAGCCAGGTGCGAGGGCCGTCAACGCTGCCCGCCTGGGTGGGGTCTTGGGGCTTCAGGAGGGCGGGCGGGGAGGAGCCGGCTTTGAAATGTGCTCTCGCCCCCAGGTGAGCGTGCTGACCACCCTGGAGCGCAGGTTCAACCTGCAGAGCGCCGACGTGGGCGTGATCGCCAGCAGCTTCGAGATCGGCAACCTGGCGCTCATCCTGTTCGTGAGCTACTTCGGCGCACGGGGGCACCGGCCGCGCCTCATCGGCTGCGGCGGCATCGTCATGGCGCTGGGCGCGCTGCTGTCTGCGCTGCCCGAGTTCCTCACGCACCAGTACAAGTACGAGGCGGGCGACATCGGCCGCGGCGCCGACGGCCGCGACACGTGCGCCGCCAACGGCTCGGGCGAGCGCGGGCCGGACCCTGACCTGGTGTGCCGCACGCGCTCGGCCACCAACATGATGTACCTGCTGCTCATCGGCGCGCAGGTGCTCCTGGGCATCGGTGCTACCCCCGTGCAGCCCCTGGGGGTCTCCTACATCGACGACCACGTGCGCAGGAAGGACTCCTCGCTCTACATAGGTAGGCCTGCGGCCGCGGGGGCATGCGCCACGGGGGCGTGCGCGCGGAGGGCGGCGCCTGGCCGGGGCTGTGTGGAGCTTCCGGGTGGTGACGCCGGTCTCCACCGAGCAGCCAAAGGCCTGGGGCAGGGCGGGGCGGGCGGTTCTGTGTTGGTCGGCTCTGGGTGGCTGTGTGCTCTGGGCCTTGTGTCGGACAGCCTGGCTGGTCAGGGTCAGAACCACGCTGGCCGCTGGCCGCTGTTCTTCCACGGCCGTGAAGGGGAGCCCTCGGCACTGGCGGCATCTGCTGTGTCTGGCAGGTGGCGAGCTCGGTGGAGTTTCCTGTGGCACCGTCTGCGATGGCGCTGGGTGTTTCGGAAGCATAATGTGTGTGTGTGCGTGTGGGTGTGTGCGTGTGTGCACAGACACGCACACACTTAGAAGTCGATTCTGTGCTGTCCTTGTTTCCACGCTGGCAGGATGGAAGCGTGCGTGGGTCTGGGGTGGAAGCTTGCAGGCGGCCTGTTGCCGTGCCGTGAGCGGCTCCTGGGCTGGTGCGTGGGCACTGCTGCTGGTCAGTTTGGGGGCAGGGACTGCCGTGCCCCCCACCCTCACCTCTCACTTGCCAAGAAGAATGCTTGCTCCTGGAGGTGCTGGCGTGTGGTGATGTGTCCCCAGTCCCCGAGGCTGAGCCTTGAAAGGTCGCCTCCCCGTGGGGCAGCCCTGTGCCCCGTGCTTCTGTGTCGCGCGCAGGTTAGAGTGAGGGTGGAACTTGCCGTTCTCATCTGCCACGCTCTCTGGGGTTGGCAGGTCTGGAGCAGGCACGCGGGAGCCCCGTTCTTGTCTCTGCCCCAGCTGTGGACTGGACATCGTCACTGGCCAGACAGGGTGCAGGTGGACGCTGCTGTCTGTGAATAGGCCCGTGGCTGGAGGGGGCACAGTGCCTGCCTGCCCATCCCTGGTATGGGGCTGTGGTCAGCACAGGCCCTGCTGGCCTGGGGAATGCAAGCAGATGAGACGTTGGCTCAGGCCCACACGGCCCGACTGTCCCCCAGGAGAGACCTCCGGCGTCTGTCTGCCTTTGGCATGGGGGAGGGGTCCTTGGGGGTGATTTACCCGTGGCTGCTGTGACAGCGTCAGAGAACGTCACTCCAGGCGAGTCCCTCACAGGCCAGGGTGTCCAGCTGCCCTGCTGGGCTCTGACCGGACGCTGTCACCCCCAAGGGTTGCTGTCTGGTAGCAGGTGGAGGCAGCAGTGGGAGGAAGGAACAGGGAAGCAGGAGGCCAAGTCTTGTCTTGGGTGAGGGGTCATGGAGAAGGTCCTGGCCCCAGCGACCCTTGGGAGGAACATTCCGGCATTCCCCTCCTGAACCAGGGCTACAGCCCTGACCCCATGTCACTTTGCTGCAGGAAGCGGTGAAGGGGCCAATAGGAATGCAAGGCCCCTCCCCCTGCGGAGAAGGGGGCGTGAAAGGGCCAACGCTGGGTCCAGGTGTGGGGCTTGCCCTGGTCAGCTCCCTCGGGGCTGGTCCCACGGGAGACCTGCAGCCAGCCAGCAGGCTGGTGCCTGAGGCAGGAGGCGGCAGGGGTGCGCATGCCCTGGTGTGATGCTCACTTGGCCCACACACGGCTGTCCTGTGGCGTTGGGAGGGGCGGTGGACGGGCACTGGCCTGGCTGCTGCCCAGTGGGTCTCAGATGGACTCTGTGCACCTGTGGTGGCTGCAGAGACACCCCCCCCCACTCCCCCACCCCCCACCCCCGCAGGTGCGTCCCATCCAAATCGAGCACCTGCTCTCTACCACGGTGCTCATTTGCCTTGGCCTCTTGTGGCCGAGCTGTTGCCGAACTTGCGGGTCCCCAGGTGGCCCTTCAGGAGGGGCTTCCTGGCCAGCACCTCCTGCAGCCGGCCCCTTCCGGCGGGAACTTGCTGGCAGCTTCTCACTACGGCGTCACCGAGAAGTCGGCCTGGGCTTGTGGTGGGATAACCACTGTGGGTGGTGGGTGGTGCTCTTGGCTGCTGGCGGCCTGGGCTGCGGGGGACAGCATCCGGCCCTCCCTGGGGTCGCTTGTCCGCCTCCAGCCCCGCGGTGTGGCCTGCAGGCAGCCCATTCCTTGGCGGACTTCTTTTCTCCACACTCACGGCACAGCAGGTTGCTCTCCTCGGGGGGGGGGGGGGGGGCGTGTGAGTGGGATGATGGGCAGAGGCACCCACTGTGTCCCGTGCTCGGGTGCCCCATCGGTGGGTCATCGCACCTCTGCCACGTTTTGAGAAGGTGCAAGGTGAAGCGAGGTGGGAACGCGTCTTTGTTTATTCCCAGCTAGGAAGTATCAGTCTCTGTGGACAATTCCCGAAATGGAGAGATCTGCTGCGATGAGGAGCTGCCCTGCTGTGTGGTGGAGGTGGTCCTCACTGTCCTGCACTGGGGGCTCTGGGGGCTTTTCTTCAACATACCTGGCCTGCTGATAGTTGGCGTCTCTTCGAGGCTGCTCTGTGGCACTGCTGTGGCCGTGACTCCCCACGTGCTGTGGACCGCACCGCTCGGTGCTGGCAGCTGCCGGGGTTTCGCACTTCCCTGGGACTCGGGGAGGTAGTTCGGCTGGTGGGGCCGAGCCTGGGGTCTTGGGGGGATGGATGCCAGGCAGGTGTGGGGTTGGCTCACAGGGCTGGGATGGGGAGAGGCTCGGGGCCAGGCGGCAGGTGCACCCCAGGGGATTCCACAGGACAGCCTGGAACCTGCAGGGAATAAAATTCATGGGGCGGGAGCAGCAGTCAGAAGTGCACCTCACACCCGAGAACCAGTGTCAGAGGCAGAGTCTGGGAGAGGGGACCCGGTGGCTGTAGCTGCCAGGTGAGCTCGGGGTCTGGGAGGAGGTCGGGCGCCTGCCTCAGGTGCTTGGAGCAGCAGTTGGCGCGGCCCTGAGCTCAGGTGTGTGAGGCCCTGGCCGACTCTCTCCCTCCAGTGGGCTGACTCCCACCCGCCAGGGCTGCTGTGAACCTCAAGAGCCATCAGGAAGTTAGCCTTACACCCTCCATGCACCTGCCTGTGCCCTGGGGCCGGTTCTGGCCCTAGGCCCGCAGGAAAAACTTGGAGCCACCTCTAGGCCTCGGTGGCTCCCTTAGGTGGGCACAATTCGGCCCTCACCAGACACAGGAAATACCAGGCCCGATCCGTACCTGATTCGGTATATGAAGCTGTGTTGCCATTTGCCCCCCGAGGTACTTGAGAATATAAATTGATTTTTTTTTCTTTTAGCTTTGTAATGTGAAAGGATTCTGGAGTCACGCTGTCACAGGGTGGGGGGAAGTCCGCCTGCCCGGGTTGTGCTGCACGGAACTGAGGTGCGATCCGTGGCTTGTGGAGAGGTGGCCGGTTTCGGGGGCACTCGCACAGGACCCTGTGTCTTGGCTCTGTGTGTTTCTATGGCGCGGGTGATGTCTTTAAGCCTGCAGACCAGGGTCAGGGTGAAACTACACAGTGCTGGCGCGCACACACGGCGGCACCTGCACAGCACAGGGAGCCCCAGCCGCGGAGACAGGCAGGTTCTCCCAAGCCCGGCCGTCCTCGGAGGATGGGCCTAGCCGCGAGGCCTGGGGTGGGGGAGGGGGCTTTGAGGAGGGTGTGCTGCAGGGGCCTCTGCCTTCCCTGGGGTCAGGGGCTCTGGGATTGCCAGGTACGCACGGCCATCGCTCCACGTGGTGCGGTACAGAAACCAGCCACAGCTGTACCGGCCGCGCTTTCCCGCAGCGTCGCTCCCCCTGGAACCCAGAGCAGCCTCTGTACCGCAGTGCAGGGCAGAGCGAGAACCACTCTCAGGCCGTCTGCCGGGCGTCGGCGCAGCCAGAGGTCACGAGCATCCCAGGCGCAGAACCGGGTCACCCTCAGAGCCCAGGGAGCTTCTGGGAGTGGCCCGCCGGCGCAGTGACTGCGGCCCGCCTGGGAAAGCGACTCCGGGCTGTGCCTCCTGGGAGCGGGCAGGGTCCTTGGCAGCAACCTCAAGATGCCGAAGTCCCCACCCACTTCCCGTCCTAACAGGGTTGATGCTGTGGGAGCCGTCAGTTGGGTTTGGCCCGGCCCCGTCAGCTCGTCCCTCTCTGTGTGCAGCAGTGTGCCGGGAGGCGCCGGGGCTCTTATCTGGTGCTGCTGTATGGTGGCCCGGCCAGTGTTGGGGCTCTTATCTGGTGCTGCTGTATGGTGGCCCGGCCAGTGTTGGGGCTCTTATCTGGTGCTGCTGTATGGTGGCCCGGCCAGTGTTGGGGCTCTTATCTGGTGCTGCTGTATGGTGGCCTGGCCAGTGTTGGGGCTCTTATCTGGTGCTGCTGTATGGTGGCCCGGCCAGTGTTGGGGCTCTTATCTGGTGCTGCTGTATGGTGGCCTGGCCAGTGTTGGGGCTCTTATCTGGTGCTGCTGTATGGTGGCCCGGCCAGTGTTCTCTGTTCCGCTGCGGCTGCTCGTGGTTCACGCTGCCGCTCTGCTCGCTGCCTGGGTGACCTTGGACGCGACGGAGTGTGGGCTCTGGTGTCTGGGTGTCTTGATTTGAA